CTATCGCGATTCACAAACCGATCTCAGTCCATTTGAGGTATAATATCAATGTTACATGGCATCTATTTTCTCGGCCTTCTTCTGTCATATGCATATGCACAGTGAGTTTGTTCAATTCCACTATCTTGAACAGCATGTAGTAGTGATTTGTACAGCCATATCATAGGAATGATCCGCAAGTATTCGAGACAATGCTTAGAAGTTTCCTCAAAATGACCTCAAATTATCGTTTGACTCCAGTTTCCAGGTCTAACTACGCTTCGGTAATTTCAGTTCTTGTTTTTCTTAGAAATAGTACCTCAAATGTTTTATTTCGAAATTGCATTTTTTTAAAGAGGCCAATAAACTACAAAATTGTTGATCGTACAGAATATGCAGTTAATCGCAGAATTCTGTCAAAGGTAAGTAAGATTCCACAGCCCATATCATCACAGTAACCAATCTTGAGTCCTTCCTTTAGGTTTTTGAAAGTGATCTAGTGCTGACGAAATCGCAAATGGACGATGTAATCGAGGCTTTTCAAGCAAGAGTCAGCGGTAAGCGAAGACACATTTACTGTTTTCTCAACTCTTGATATTAGAAGGTGTAAGAAACATGGTGCATCGTACAACGTTAGCTGATTGTATTTTTGAAGGTCAAAATACTTTTTTCTGTAGTTGATGGAGGTCAGCTCAATCTGAAGATCTAACAAAGTCTCTGCATTCTATTGGTAGTTTAATCGAACTGAAATCATGTTTACGAATGTCGTTTTAGGTCAGAGCCCAAAGAAGAAAAGGAATGCCGCTATCAAAGGAGAGAATTTCAGATGGCCAAATGCAACAGTTCCGTATGAGTTTAAGGATAACAACAGTAAGAAAATTTCGTCCCCTCATGCTCCCATGCTTCTTCACCTCAACCAATTTTCGCAAATATTTTAATTAATCAACTTTTGATTTTACGTAATTAGAGGATGTGGCACTGCTATACTAGTGTTTTACAATATAAAAACAACTCAATTCATTCCTCCCCACCGGATTCAGTTGCATCGCTCTTGCAGCTGAATGGCAAGGGATCATCCGAAAAGGAATGTACAAATGGCAGAAG